CTGGTACATTATTATGAGAAATAGTGGCTAATTTAGAGCATTAATTAGCATTCACAAAAGGCCTTGGCAAATAAATTGTCCAAGACCTAAGGGCTAACTTTAATTTTCTATTTACTTTGAGTCATTGATTTCGCTTATGGGATTATTGAATATTAAAATACTATCTTTGAATGAATGTTATTTCTGGGCTCACCTGCCTTACATAACTGCAAAATGTCCTTTGCTTTTGTGTTGAGAGATTTGCCTCTGTATATAAAAATGTTTGTGTTTTTCTTGTAATTGTATTTTATGTCACTTTAAATCAGGTCTCTTAACCTGGCACAATATAATTATAAAATACCAGCTGAAAAGGCACTAAAACTTACATTTCGTATACAGCATTAGGAAGAATGAGAAAAATTTATACTTTTTACATCAAAACACGTTACCCAATTGCAAAATAAAAACTGGAATGACATGTAGGATAGTATCAGATCCTCCTAATACCATATTTCCCCAAAAATAAGACATCCTCCGAAAATAAAACCTACTTACAGGTTTCCTTCTGAGTGAAATATAAGGCATCCCCCGAAAATAAGGCCCCCCCCAGGCTAAACATGAGAGATTTGGTCCACTGATTCTGAAAGAAATGGAGTCACAAGAAATTCACCAGGAAATTCAGGAATTGGATTGTTATGATGATGTTCCAGAAGATGATGATATGATTGTCATTGAATAAATGAGTTAATTCTTGATACTGTAGGATTCACAGTTTGTCTGGTTTGTGTTGACAACTACCGTACTATCGTACCGTATACAGGTAATAAATTTCCTTTATTTTCATTTAAGAATAAATGTGTACTGTATTCTTCTTCATGAAAAAATAAGACATCCCCTGAAAATAGGACCTAGCGCATCTTTGGGAGCAAAAATTAATATAAGACACTGTCTTATTTTCAGGGAAACGGTATGTTTCACATATGATATTATGTAAAGAAAACTCTTGGGAGAATCCAAGATGGCTGCTCGGGTAGGCAACTAGCCGCAGCCGCACACAACAATTTCAACAAAATACAACTAAAATATAAAATGGACATTACCCAGAACTACAGGAAAGTCGACTGACTGGAAATTCTACAACAAGAAGCAAGGAGAAAACCAGAAGGAAGCGCGGAGGAACTGTAAAAGCCTAAGGTACCGAGACATGTGGTGCGTGCGGAGAGGACGGAGCCAGAGAGGAGGGAGGCTGAGTGCCTGCCTGGCGGTCCCAAGCGGGAAGGAGAGAAAAGCTCCGACTGTGCTGGGCCCAGCTCCAACTGCTCTGTACCCCAATTCTAGGCCAGACCCCGGGGACCCAGGCTCATCCATAGGGAGCCGTGCTGTAAAGCGGGACTCCGGGGAAGCTGTGAAAGGAGGTCCCGGAGGCGCGCACATTGCGTGCAGAGAAGGGCCGGCCGGCTGTGCGGCGGGATTGCCCTGATGGGAAGGAGACAAGGGCTCCAGAATGCTCTGAACGCCACCTCCAATCCCACTACCAACTGAACTGAACCCCAATACCAGACTCATTGGGGGAGAGCATAGACAGTTTGGCAGCAGGCGAAAATCGAGGGCACATTTCTCTCAGAGGCGCTCACAACAAGTACTGAAGGACCCTGAGTCTCAGGAGTTGCATAGGGCGGGGCTGACGGAAGCCAAGGCTGTAGGCTCCACCCTGAAACCCCGCCCCATCAGGAAAGCTGCCTGTGAAAATGCCTAAACCAAATAGATCACAAACGAAAGAAATGGAGGACAAAAAGAGACTGGATATAGAGTTCAAAACCACACTTATAAGGTTGTTCAAGAATCTCCTAGAAAAGGCCGATAAAATAAACAAGACCTATGAGGATATGAAAAGGGATCAACTAGAAATAATAAGGGATCAACAAGAAATAAAGAATACATTGTCTGAAATAAAAAATATTATACAGAGTCCTAAAAACAGAATGGAAGATCGCAAGAATCAAGTCAAAGATTTGGAACATAAAGAGCCAGAAGACACTCCTCCGCAGACGCAAGAAGGCCAGAGAATCCAGAAAGTTGAAGATAATGTAAGAAACCTCTGGGATAACTTCAAGCGAACCAACATCAGAATTATGGGGGTCCCAGAAGATGAGAGAGAGCAAGATATCGAAAACATACTGAAAGAAATAGTGACAGAAAACTTTCCCCACCTGGTGAAAGAATTAGACTTACAAGTCCAGGAAGCGCACAGAACTCCAAACAAAAGGAATCCAAAGAGGACCACACCAAGACACATCATAATTAAGATTCCAAGAGCAAAAGACAAAAAGAGAATATTAAAAGAAGCAAGAGCAAAGAAGGTAGTTACCTATAAAGGAGCACCTATACGATTGTCAGCTGATTTCTCAACAGAAACCATGCAGGCCAGACGGGAATGGCAAGAAATATTCAAGGTGATGAATAGCAAGAACCTACAGCCAAAGATAATCTATCCAGCAAAGCTATCACTCAGAATCGAAGGTCAGATAAAGAGCTTCACTAATAAAAAAAAGCTAAAGGAGTTCATCACCACCAAACCAGAATTATATGAATTGCTGAAGGGGGTTCTTTCAGAAGAGAAAGTAAATAAAGATAAAAATTATGAACAACAAATACGTAACTATCAACAAGTGAATCTAAAAACCAAGGAAACTAAAAAAAAAAAATCTGAGGAACAATATTAACTGTTGAATATAATAGAATCAGAGGTATGGAAGGGGAGTGAACTGTTTATTCTTGGGGAAAAGGGGAGAGGGGGATGTGGGAAGAGACTGAACATAAACTGTGCACCTATGGATGAGGACAATGGGGGGTGGGGAAAGGGCAGAGGGTGGGGTGAGAAGGGGGGGAAAGGAACATTTGTAATAATATGAACAATAAAAATTTATTTAAAAAAAAAAAAGGAAAACTCTTGAAACTAGAAACCTGACCTATTTGATAATAAAGTGCTTATTTGAATATAATAGATGTTTTTTAAATTTATTAAAAATGTTTTTCAAATAGTTTCTATTCAATATTATTTTGTATTAGTTTCAGGTGTACAGCATTCTGGTTAGAAATCATGTACTTTTATAAAGTGTTCCCCCAATATTTCTAGTACCCCCCTGGCACCATCCTATCTAATAAAGAGGGGATATGCAAATTGACCATCATACCATCACAAAGATGGCGGCACCAATCGTCACAAGATGGCTGTGCCTAGTCTCCTAAGCCCTGCCAGAGTCCCCCAGTTCTTTCAGCCCCATCGGGGGTATGGGATGGCAGGCACATGATGTGGCTGGGTCCACCCTCAGCCCCTCAGCCGCCCATGGTGGGCCCAAGGTGCAGGCAAGCCTCAGATGGTGACTGCCCAGCTGCCCAGGGCCGCCCGAGACTTGCGCTGCCAGCAGTGGCAGCAGCAGAGGTGTGATGGGGACATCACCTTCCCCTGATCACTAGGTCACCTCCTGCCCCTGAGGACTCCCAGACTGTGAGAGGGGGCAGGCTGGGCTGAGGGATTCCCCCTCCAGAGCATGAATTTTCATGCACAGGGCCTCTAGTACATACATAATTATTACAATATTATTGACTATATTTCCTATGCTATATTTTATATCCACACTAGAGGCCCGGTGCAAGAAATTCATGCACGGGTTGGGGGGGCAACCAAGCTGGCAGGGGAGGGCAGTTAGGGATGACCAGGCCAGCAGGGGAGGGCAGTTAGGGATGACCAGGCCAGCAGGGGAGGGCAGTTAGGGATGACCAGGCCAGCAGGGGAGGGCAGTTAGGGATGACCAGGCCAACAGGGGAGGGCAGTTAGGGATGACCAGGCCAGCAGGGGAGGGCAGTTAGGGGCAATCAGGCCAGCAGAGGAGTAGTTAGGTGTCAATCAGACTGGCAGAGTAATGGTTAGGGGGTGATCAGGCAGGTAGGCAAGCAGTTGGGAGCCAGCAGTCCTGGATTGTGAGAGGGATATCTGACTGCCGTGGGATCGGGCCTAAACGGGCAGTCAGACATCCCTTGAGGGGTCCCAGATTGGAGAAGGTGCAGGCTGGGCTGAGGGACACCCCTATCCCCCGTGCACAAATTTCATGCACCGGGCCTCTAGTGTTATATATTCCACATTTATTTATTCACTTGCTGACTTTTCCCCAAACTAGAAATAGAATGAAAGTTCCATAAAGATGGGATTTTAGTTTTTTTATTAACTGTTTTTCATCACACTTAAAACTATGATTGGAATATAGTAGGTACATGGCATCTGAAAAGAGGAAGATAATATTATTTGCTTCTACATACTTGTATGGTCAAACAAATCCTCTGAACTGAGCACTGAATGGCAAGATTCTAGGGAAAGAGCATCTAGAGACAGAAGGAATAGCAAACATAGCTGTAGGGACAGGTTTGGCATCATTAGAGAATCGTCAGTGTGGCTAAAGCACATGAAGCAAGCAGAAAGTGAGCTGAGAATGGAGAAGGAGGTAGGGGCCACTTCACAGGCCAAGATAAGGAGTGTGAATCCTTCAAGTAGGGTAGCAATGAAAATCAAGTTACATTTTAAAGGGATCATTTTTGCTCTCCATGGAGTTGAAAGGTAAAAAGGAAAGGGGAAACATGGAGACCTGGTTTGTCTGGATTGTCTTAGAGAGAGAGAAAAATCATTGAAATCTTTAACAGTGATCCAGGCAGGAATTAATAGATGACTCTTAGGTTTTTTGCTCAAGCAAGTGTTTAGTAAAATGGGGAAAGACTAGGGTAGAAACAAGGTATTTTTGTTTGATTGTGGTTTACACTTTGAGAAGGTCAGGGGGGAGGAGTAGGAATGAAGAGTTCTAGTGGCTATGAGAGCTTGACTTTCATGAAGTCAGGCTAGAAAGGTAAATTTAGGGATCATCAGCATATAAAACCAGCTAAAGGCTAAGAACAGATGAGTTACTAGTAGAGAGTTCAGATACCATATAAGAGAACATTAGTGCAATTAACACAAAGACCACAACAGACCATTAAGACTCTTAACAACTAATTTATTTTAAAATAGACAAATTATTAATTGTAGAAAATAGTAACACAGCAATATTAAATGTACAGTTTTATCCAGTACAAAAAAGCAATAAAGTAATATCTGAAGCTTTATTTAAGAAATCTCAATACACTATCTCTGTAGTTCCTAAAACTCTGGCACTATTTCTAATGGGAGTTTGTTAGCAAAAAGCTCGGAACTATGGTAAGCCCTTGACCTACCTGCTAACTGATTTGTATGATATTCATGCAAAAATTAATGAGGGAATGTAGTACGTATTCTAGTGCCTTTGTTATCAAGATAGCTGTAAAAATAAAAGTTTGAAACTTAATTGAGCATAAAATAAAATTTTGTTTTCTAACAAACAGCGCAGACTTCTTTTTAGAAAGAGTTTAGACGAAAGTGATTTTCCTAAAAGCTAGTTGATGCTACCTTAAATACCATCTATTTTAAATTATATCATCTCTAAATAACTTAATCACACAAGATAGTTCAAACACACCTTAGGTGCCAGAAGGGAAAGCACCTCTTTTACAATACAGCTATTTTGAAATTTTTGCAAAAAAAAATTGAAACATTAATGCCTAACCCAAAGGCCTTTGAATATGTACTGAAATTTTGAACTAGAAATAATGTGGCTGTGAATGTGCCAGTGTTAGACCATCTGATGTTAAAAACAAAAAAAAGACAGACAGTGGCCAGCTCTAAAGACACCAGGAAGACATGTACCATTCAAGAGAACGCACACCCCTTCCCAAATTTAGGAGGGCAGAATAACTGCTGAGATGCAATTAGACTAATCTCTGAGGGAAAAAAAAAAAAATAAGACTCCTGATTTAACAGTCTGTTTTATGGAGTAAAATTATTTTGAATTTTGATTCTTCAGGACCCAGAAACATTAGAAAGTGCACTTTGGATATATGTATTAGGGTCCTCTGCAGCAAAGCTATGGCTGAACACTTCATTCTCCAAGTACTAGATGGATACTTTCTGAATTCAGTGATATGAACGGTATAACCAAGAGCACTATTAATAACCCTAATTTTAAAGTATGAATTGGATGAAAAAAAGAATCAACAAATTCTTAGATGTCCTGAGGTATGAAATCTGGATCAGTAGTATGACAATATCCTATGTTTATAGTTTGCTTTTTGCTTGTATTTAAAAGCTAAAACTTGTAAAACAAAACACCGTACATCAGATTCCATTAGTAAACTAAAATCTAATGTATAAAAATTAGTAATTTTTTTTTAATAGTTTCTAATATCTGTTTTAGAAGAAGAATTCAGGATCATTTGGATTATTGGGGGCAGTCAGCCAAATTATATTTGGAAGACAAGACACATTTTTAAGAATGTTCATGTTAAATTAAAAAAAATAAATATAAATTAATAAAAATAATAGCAAACATCACACATATGCCACAAGAAAAGACAAAGTACTCAGACAGGCATGGGTTGTTGGGACTCCCACTCCCAGGCATCCTTTGGAAACAAAACACCAGCTACAGCTTTAAAATGGCAGATTTTACACAAGATTTTCAATCTTGTACAATAACAATGCATATTCTATTAACTACAGCATTGCAAATGGCTTAGAAGTGTCTGCACAAATATTCAATGTGCACCTGAACATTTTATATTCATAAAAAGAGCAGAAGATATGTATTAAACGTGGCCGTAAACAGAACCTGGGAGTTACACAGTCAGCTCTGTAAGAGCCGGAGGTGAACACAGTACCCACCAAAGTCATGAAATCCTCACTTGGCTTCCCTGTTTGAGACATCTATGTTATCACTCATTTTCTGCTTTTGCATTCGTGTTCGAGTAGATGCTGAGAAAAAAATAAAGAAATGTTAATGGCACTGCTGGTGCCAAGTAAGTTGGCAAAGGGTTGCCATATATGTTATGCTTATACCAAATCAGTAGAGTTGTGGAAATGGACATTTAAAAAGTACATTACTAATTACATCATAGACAAAGACAGAACATTTCTTTTTTTGTTGTTGTTGAATTTATTGGGGTGAAATAGGTTAGAAAAATTACATAGGTTTCAGGTGTAAAATTCTGTAATACATCATCAAGTGTTTAAGTAAGGGTTATGATCTTATATATTCTAAGTTTATAAGACCTTTCCCTGTAGCCAACACTCTTTAAGAGTTCCTCATAGTCCTGCTGTCCTGAGCTATCTCCTACCCACAGCCATCCATGTTGAAGATGCAGTTTCGTTTCTTAGTCATCCTGAGCTAAGTATTTTAGAAAGGGTCAAGATGATTATTTGCATTGTACATTTAAACTGCAGATGTTTGTGTAGATAAATAATACATTCTTGATTAAATTACGTTTTAAATGCATGAGCAAGTCCACTAACGGAAGGAATTAATATGTATTTATCCTTTTCTAACATGAAAAGTGTTTTTGAAATGTAAAGAATTTCATTTATATAAAGTGAAATAAGTACTTACTCATTTCTGCCAGTTTCTGTTGAAATTTGGACTCTCCTGGGAGATGTTTACTGCAGATGAAAAAAATGTAAAATATTTTATGTGTATCTGTATAAATTGAAAACTCAAATTTCCAACTATGGTGCTTTCCATGACTTATTTTATACTCTTATTTTAGTGAGGAGCTTTTAATTTCAAAGGTTTATAAACAAACGGTCTAAAATATGATTATTACAAATTTATGATCCTATAAATTAATAGTTTTTCAATGTTTCTTATAAAACGAGGTAGCTTATATTTTTTAAGAATAAGCATTTTAAAATCTAATGTTAATCAAAAGTAACACAATTTTATCAACATTTTATAAAAAATTCTCAGATTTTAAACATCTGATATTTTCAATGTATTTCAGTAGTTGGCATATGGTTTATTTATATGGTGCTTTTAACTCTGGGATGCAGTCATATCTGTTATTTTGTGCAATCATTACAATTTCCAAATAAAATTGACATGAAAGGGATTGATGGAAGTCAAAGCAGAGCTGGTAGTGTGGTTCTCCAGATGACCACCAGCTCAGCTACTAAAAAACATTCTAAAGCTGTTCCTACCTTCCATCGGCTTCATCTGATCCTTCAATGTCAAAGCGTAATTTTTTCAGTGGTTTAGGGGGGTTGCCTCCTTCTGCACTTCTTTTGAGCACACGGTCACTGTTACACACCATCTGATTTATTTTCTGGAACTTCTCAGAAGTCTATAAATAACAGCAGAATTCCTTATTAAATTTTTTAATGTTAGCATTTTGTAGTTAGCAACCCTTAACTGTAGTTTGAGGTGTGTAAAAAAAAAAAAAAAAATCAGGCAGAGGTAATACCTGCATTTTAATTTTCTGCTTAAAAATTAGAAAAATCTCAAAATCAGAATAACTATGTGCCCAGTTAATTACTCCCTTTTAAAAAATCTTCCTGTCTGACTCCTGCTATGAAAGTCCTGGTTCCTCAGCCTCAGCCAAGCCAAGGCTTCCTCTTTCTCAGATGCACATAAAGTTGAAACAGCTTTCTGAAACCCTGTTTCTGACTTTTTTTAAAAAAAAGACATAACATAACCAGAGGGAACTTCATGAGAATTTAATGAAGTATTCAGTAATAATTTTGGACTCACTTTATGAGTATTATGTTGATAAGTCATATAGTTTATATATTTTAAGCCATCATTGATACAGTATTTGTTGAAATGCTGCTAAATCATAAAGTTTTTAAAACAACAAATCAAATAACAAGAAGACTTAAGTCCAGGCCAGTGTTCTCAGTGGTTAGTGTCAGCCTGTGCACCAAAGGGTCAAGGGTTCAATTTTCAGTCAAGGGCATGTATCTGGGTTGTAGGTTCAATCCCTGGTCTGGGTCAGGGAGCATGTGGGAGACAATCAATTGATGTGTCTCTCTCACACTGATCTTCCTCTTTCTCTCTCTCTCTTCTCCTCCCCTCCTCCCTTCTACTCTCTAAAAATCAACGGGAAAAATATTCTCAGATAAAGATTAACAACAACAAAGAGACTTAAGAATTTGAGTTCATCCAGTATTATTGAAGATGGTTTGAGAGAGATACCCTGAGGGAGAATCTTGAAACAGCAAAGTAAAAAAAGTTTTGGAAGAAAAACCAAAGGGGCTATACCTTAACTTATCCCAGTGAAAAACGTGAAAACATTGTATTTGTTACCTATCTATTTTTGAACCAAGGTGAGGTGACTTTCTCAGGGATGTGTATGAACTAAAAAAGTCAGACTTTCTGATAAAAATTAAAACTGAATGGTGATGGAAGGAGACTTGAGTTGGGGTGAACACACAACATAGTGTACAGATGATGTGTTGTGGAATTGTGCGTGTGAAACCTGTATAATTTTGTTAACCAGTGTCACTCCAATCAATTAAAAAAAAGAAAAATTCGTGAAAAAGTTTTAAATCTGATTTGACTAATTGATTTGAAGTGGGGATTGACTTTGCTGATTATGTTTTATTTTCCAAAAATCAAACACAAAACAGGTTTTGATGCAAAATACACTTAGAGCACATATGTATGATAGAAACTAATTCCAGTGCACTTATTAAATTGATAAGATTTTTAGTTATCAGCTTTAAAATATGGAAGTTCATATAACAGCACTTTCTCAGTTCTCTTAAAGGTTATGGCAAGCAGGAAAGTCTGCATATCACTACTCTCTAGCTATCCAGATCCAAGCCTACTAATGTACCGTATTTTTCGGACCATAAGACGCACTTTTTTCCCCCCCAGAAGTGGGGGGGAAAAGTCCCTGCATCTTATGGTCCAAATATAGCCTACACATATACTTTAAAAAAAAAGTTTTTTTACTTGCCCGGCTCTGTGTGGTCTCTGTGTGCTTGCCTGGCTCTAAAATGGTTCTAAATGCTGCTGTTTACTTTACAGGGTTGATTACATGTGTTTATGACTGTGATGTTGGGTTTTAATGCACATAAAATATTTTAGGACACTATTTGTTTCAGAATCTTTTTTTCTTCATTTCCCTTCTCTAAAAACTGGTGCGTCTTATGGTCCGGAGCATCTTATGGTCTGAAAAATACGGTATGTCTCCTTTGTGAAGCCTGAGAGCTGTCGCCTACCTTGAGCTAAATGTCACATCATTTTGTTATTTGTAACATACGTTTTAACAGCTGGTCTTTTGGTGTACAAACTTTTAATCTTTCTCTATTTCATTTGGGGAAGAATGCCAGGCAGAATGGCTCTTACTAATTCCCACCTCCTAGTGTTTATACCTGTGTGATCCTCCTGAGTATGGGCTGGATTTAGTGTTGTCTTGCTTCTGACAAAAATAATATGGCAAAAGTGATGGAATGTCACTTATTAAATCTTATCAATTTAATAAGTGCACTAGGATTAGTTTCTATCATATATGTGTGCTCTAAATGTATTTTGCACCAAAACCTGTTTTTGTGTTTGATTTTTAGAGAATAAAACTTACTCATTATCTGCCTTTCCTCCCTCCCTCGCTGGAATTTTTGCTCTGGGGGAATTTTTGCTCAAGTTGCTATGCTGTGAGCAGTGAGTAGCCCCATGAAAAGCTGCAGTGGCAGGGAGCCGGTGGCCTGGCAGACAGCCATCAAGGACCAGCCAGCAGCCATACAAGTGCGTTTGTAAGACATCCTCCTCCATTTGAGCCTGAGATAACGGCAGCCCCAGCTGACATGCTGGCTGCAGCCTTATGAAGACAGGCCCTGGACCCCGCTAAGCCACGCCTGGATTACTGAAACCACAGAAACCTGAGAGAAAAAATGTTTGTTCTAAGTTACTAAGTGTGGTGTGATTTGTTCCGCAGCAATAAATAAATAATAAAGGTAAGAGAAATGGGAGTGGTGAAACAGTAATAGAAATGCACAATGAATACAGGACTGCTGAATTAGTGATGTTAATGGAAGGTGAACGAGAGTAGTAGGTTCCCATTCTAGATTAACTTTCAAGCTAAGCTTTCCCATGGATCCCTCAAGAACAAAGACGGCTATATACCCTAATATTTACACTGGGGCAGAGTGTCATGTAACCAAGGCCTAATCCACTTATTAGAAAAAGAATATTCTAGAAGTCTGAGAGGAAGGACAAGCAAAAGTGTATATATGTGTAGAAGGAGAAGACAGTAGGTAGAGATTGGCTGGTGACATTTGGATATGGTGGTTACATTTTGGAGTATCTTATTTAAACCATACTCATAATTAATGAATTTTAAATGTGTTTACTCTCTCTCTCTCTATATATATATGGATATATATATACACACACATATGGATATATATATATATATATATATACACACACACACACACACACACACACACACACACACACACACATATGGAGATTTATATATATAGATGCTGGCACTTGAAATTCGTGCACTGGTAGGGTCCCTAGGCCTGGCCTGCGATCCGGGCCGATCTTCCCCAGCTGTTGGCAGCCAGCCCACCCTCTGCCGCCAGTCGCCTTCTGTGTGTGGGGAGACTGGGGGGGAGGGGGGCTATCGGGGCCCTGTTAGCACTGGTCTTGGCTTGGCACTATCCCCATCTGCTGCCACCCACCCCTAGTTCCCTGTTTCCCACGGGGCTATCAGAGCCTGCCGGCCTGGGTGAGGGCAAAGAGGTTGGCAGTTCCTGCCCGCTCACTGGCCCTGCTTCCTGCTGCTGGTCACCCTCTGTGTGTGGGGGCGACAGGCAGGGTGATCGGGTCCCCTCTCACACCTGCCTTGGCTTGGCGCTGCCCACATCTGCAGCCACTCACCCCTGGTTCCCATTCCCCATAGGTTAGTGAGAAAGCTCCGATCAGGCAACCAGGGCCTATGGGCTGAGGCAGCTCCTGTGTTGAGCATCTGCCCCCTGGTGGTCAGTGCACATCATAGCAACTGGTTGTTTGGCCATGAGGTCAATTTGCATCTTATGTTTTTGTGTGTATAGATATATATCTACATGAATGTATATATATACATATGTATAATCTCAAAAGAATATTTAGAAAACATTTTATTTGAAAATAAATCTTATATATATATATATTCTAAATTCTGTAAAACATGACTAAATGAGGTATTTTAATAACAGCATTTATAAATTCAAATTAAAGATATCTCCCATTTCTAGTGCATGTCACTGTATTTGATAGAAAAATACTTACCCCAAATGATTCACCAATGGATACTAAGATTCTGTCAAGTTAAGATAAAATACAAATTAGTAATGAAAATCATACACAACTGAGTAGACAGAGATGAACATACACTATCAGAGATGAACTATCAGAAATACCAAATCAAAGGTTTCCTCTACCCTAGAACCACTGATAAATTATACTAGCAGATTTATTTTAATAGTGGTAGTCTAGTCCTAGATTTTTAAAGCAAGCTATGTGTCCGCAAGAACATATTCTGCCGGTGTCACATTTAAAGAGGATAAAATAAAATTTTAAATTTACCTCTACTTAATGATTCCTAAATAAATAGGTAAGTTATTAACACTTCTTTTATATTTTCTCATTAAAAAATCAAGTTACATATGACAAAAATGTATGATATTATGTAATAATCTATTCTAATTAGGATATAGGGTGCTATTTATCCTATATCCAAGAATCTGAAATCTCCATTGGTCTGCTTGGTCTTGTTTGAACCATATAATTTATGTACTTGATAATAAAGCTGAAGAATAGCATTAGCCTGACAAAACAAAGATTTGATGACATGCACAAGGAACTAGTAGACACCCAGATTTTATTGTCCTTTAATTCATTGATAAGTGGCTGTTAATCTCTATATATTTGACTAACCAGAATACCTAAATATGCTGGGTAAATAAAGGGTTAAGATGCTCTCTTAATGCTTGATCAATGATATATTAGGATTTTCATGGGACTTCTTTGCTAAAGAAGAACTCTAACCCAGAAGTGATTTCACTAGGATCAGCAAATAGCCATCATTATCAGCATAATATGGATTAATTATCATCATTAAAAAATTATGCTGTATACATTTTCATGTGGAAGTGTGTGACTGTGCAAATTAAATAAACATGATGTGGCATCGTAGCAGCTTATAACACAAGTTGCAGATTTCAAAACTCAACCATAATACCAAATAAAGGACAGAATAGGGGCACACAAGAGCATATATATCATTTGTCAGTTATTTTCTGCCTTATCTGTTCCTGTAGAGCTTGAAATTTTTATCGTGAGAATGCATTACTTATATAGTTAAACATACCACACAAATATTAATATTATTAATATTATCCCCTCTCCTTGTTTGCTTTTCTTGTCCATTAAGTACAGCAATATGGGCTGACAATTTCTGAGATGAGATGACATTAACTATAATTGCTAACCTGCCTCCTACTTTCTACAAATAGCAGTTTCAAATAGCCCATGATAACATATAATAAGTCAATTGAAGCACTTCAAAGCCAGAGAGCAGTTGTGGTTGGATGTGGAATATAATGATTTGTGGTTGCACAGAATCTTTCATCTAAAAATTTAAAACTGCTTCACACTCGTCATTTCCCAGGCCCACGGCACCTTTCTGAGGCAGACACCGAGAACTGCCTGTGCAGTAGAAGTCACGGGAAGAATTAGAGATGGACTTCTTAAGACTTAACTTAGTCAACTACTTTTAATCACCCATCTAGCCTTTTATAACAGAGCAAGATGAACAGGGGCACTGAAAGAGTATACAGGACATTCAATAAACCACAGAATAACATTTATTAACCAAAAGTACTTTGTTTAGTAGACTGGCTAACAAAAATATGACTTGAAACCTATTACCAAACTTGTTTTCAGACTGTTTACCAAAGAACAGATCCCAGCATCCAAGAAAGCTAATGCCTTAATTTGCAAACCTACCTAAGTATAAACACAGTATCTTTCACTCCCCCCAAATTCTTATCATGTCACTTAATATAAATAAGCAAATTAGGGATGCAAGTATAGCTTATTTTAAATTAAGAAAGTTTTATATTTTATGCCCAAATCAAAATAATCCCCTCTTACATTTTACCACTTCCCTAAAGAGAAAACACAAACCTTGATCTTGGAGTCATTTTTGTTGGAGTTGGCAGACCTTCTGAAATTTTATATGGATTCTTCAGGGGTGATATATAGATGTTCCCTCCAGGAATCCGTAAAGGTGAACTAGAAAACTTGTAAGGGCTTCGAGGAATGTGAGGTATTGGCGATAAAGTAGGGGGCTATAGTAAAAGCAAAGAGGCAGATTACTTATTTCCTGTTTTAGTGAGACCCATTGCTTTATAATTAGATTTTCCCAATCAAAGGCTACTTTTAACATACCCTGGTGGAAGCATACTGCAAAATATTTGTCTTCAATCTTTGCATAAAGACCGAGTTATAGAATACTATAATAGAATCATACTCTTCTTCTCTGATCAAAACCCGTTTGAAAGTCTGAGGAAGAATAAAAACACTTGTTAAGATTAATTTGGGAATTTGTCTTTAGATTATCTTTTTTAATAGTTCATAATATTTTTTAACAGTAAGAAACACATATTATAAAGAAAAAAATAATCTAAAAAAGCCTGGACATGGATTATTATAGGGATATAGTATTTTTTATTAACTTTATAATGTAAATTTGGATATTAAAAAGCATTACTTTTCTAATTACATTTTACTAACAAATAATTAACCAATAATATAAAGGCAAAAAATTAATATGTGACTTTATATAATAAGATCAGAATTTATTATCTAATTAATAACTGAAGTTATTCATATTATAGATATGAACCTATCCCAAAAAAATCTTACTATGGAAGATTACCTACCTCTTGAACAGCATGAGGAAGATCCTTGTAAGCTGTGACAATGATTTTGAATTTAAGGTCTATATTCTTCACTTTGCATATGCCGTACATAGAACACATCATGATCTAATAAATAAATGTGACGTAAAAATAGTCAGAATTTTATAACATGATTGTTTTCTAAAAAGCATTTATCTTTCTTTTTAACCTTAAAAATTGAAATTTAATTTCCTACAAGGTTATCTTTTCCCATCCTGAGTTCAGTTTGAAATCTATGTGAAGTGTTTAACCCAAATTGTATTTAAAGAACAAAACACAAATAGCCAACTCTCGAATATTAAGAACTGATCATTTGGTTTATAAATAACCCTAACTTTTGCTCCTATCCCTTAGATATTTTGCAGAAGATGAAAACTGAAATTGGAATCAGTTCACTCTATAAGTAGCACTTAATAACAAACAAACAAACAAACAAAAAAACTAGGTATGAAAAAGGTTCATATTATCAGGTAAAATAATATTTAATACAACTTGATGGTAATGGTAAGGGGAATGTACTAACTGAAAGAGGACAGCAGCAAATACGTTGTACTGTTGAAACTCTTAGGTTTCCTAATTTGGGTGCTGGTTATACAGGTGCGTTTAGGTGAGAATTTACGTTAAGATGCACCCTTATGGAATTTTCTACATGCATATGACAGTCCAAGTAAAAGTATTTTTAAATGCAAAAATAAGATTTAAAAGGATTCCCTGTGACTTTAAAACATCAAACTTCTTAAATTTGTATAAATGTTATTGCCTAATTTAAGTACTCATATTTTCTGCAACATTCTGTTCACATCTACTATTGCCAAGAATACCTATTCATCATTCCTTGCTCAGCATTCAACCAGCCCCAATCCTACTATTCCTCCCATTAGAAGGCCATCTAGTATCCTCTCTGCTGATTCCTATTTTTCTCCTACTCCAACACTTTACCTAAGGCGCCTCTCATAAAAATGTTTTTTAGTCTAGATACCCAATTTCTTTGGAAATTCTTAGCAATACTGTTCATATCTTTCTAAACAGTAGAGAAGGAGTAGAACCAAAAGGCAACAGATACCTACTTTAAAAAATCCAACATAATAGAATGTATACATCCAAATAAAATTTGGTAAGATATACATATCTGTAGGTTATAATTTATACAATAATTCACCTTTTGTTCAAAACACTTTTACTGAGAACATTATTGCCAACTTTATAGAAATAAAAAATTATAAGGTAACATCTCTCTCTATATAAAACCCTAATATGCAAATAGACCAAACAGCGACACACTGAACAACTGAACAACCAATCGCTATAATGTGTGCTGACCACCAGGGGGTGTGCACGGAACATGGTGGGCGTCAGCTGTGGTGGAATGGTGGAGCAGGTAAATGAGGGCTCCAGACCAAGACAGGACACCAGTTGCCGTCATCAGGGCGAGCCTCTGGTGGTTTCTGAAAAGTCTTTGCTCCTGCGCACCATGATCCTGCTCAGTGCTTGCACCTGCGCTGGCCCTTCGCACCTGCTGCTGGCACTGGAGCTGATGCTTGCACCCACAACCAGCACCAGAACCACCGCTCACACCCACTGCTGGCTGCCGGCCCCAATTGCCTGAGGACTTCTCCACCTCCACCTCCCCCTGCAGCTGCCACTTGCATCTGCTGCTGGCACCAGCCCCAATTGCTCTGTGCCATCACTGGGTGTGAGTGGGACCAGAGCCATCAGCACATGGTAGTGGTGGGGGCAGGAGTGGGGCTGCTGGAAGAGAGAAGAGAGGGAACTGGGGGCCATGGTGAAAGGGGCCGGGCAGGGGCGCGGAGGATGGGCACAGCTTCAAGACCCACAGTTTCTTTCAGGGTGCATCAATTTGTGCAGTGGGCCCCTAGTTATAATTGTATTTAAAAAAAAAAAAACCACCCAGATATATAAATCAGAAAAATTTATCAGACACAAATTGCCTGCCTGCCTTCCTGATTGCTCCTAACCGCTCTGCCTGCCAACCTGATCACCCCCTAAACACTCCCCTGCCAGCCTATGAATGCCTAACTGCTCCCCTGCCAGCCCGATCGTCCCCAACTGCCCTCCCCGAACGCCCCGATCACCCCCAAATGCCCTCCCTTGCATATTCCCTCTTTATTAGATAGGGTTTTTTTCTTTAGCATATTGGACAATCCTAACTGGTTTGACTCAGAGGATGGAGCATTGGCCTGCAGACTCAAGGGTCCCAAGTTCGATTCTGATCAAGGGCATGTACCTTGGTTGAGGGCACATACCCAATGGGGAGTGTGCAGGAGGCAGCTGATAGATGTTTCTCTCTCACAGATGTTTCTAGCTCTCTATCCCTCTCCCTTCCTCTCTATAAAAAAAATAAATAAAATATATATTTTTTAAAAAGAAACATTTAAGATTTCTCTATTCTGCCTGACTGTGTGACACAATGGTTGAGACCCCAGGCTGCCACTGCTGGAAGGGGATCGTGCCCTGGCCAGCCTGAGACCCCAGCCCAGGCTGCATCTCAGCCTGGCTGGGCATCTCGAGGTGGGGGTGTGCGGCCCTAGCCCAGGCTGCCACCAATGTCCCGAAGATCACAGGGGTGCACGGCCCTGCCTGTCTGAGACCCCAGCCCAAGCTGTCACCATGGCAGGGGAATTGCCCGGTGCTGGTCCACAGCCCCAGCCCAGGCTGCTGCTGCTGGCTTGAAGATCACACTGTGGCGTAGGAGTTCCAGCCCAGCCTGCCTGAGGCCCCAGCCCAGGATGCCGCCACGGGATCGTGCTTTGGGTGTGAGGCTCTGCGGCCTGAGACCCCAGCCCAGGCTGCCGCTGCTGGCCAGGATCACGGTGGGCGCTGTGCCTCCCAGCCGGACACCCTGGGCTGCCGCCGCTGCTGGGCCGGGATCGCGGTGTGAGGGGCAGGTGCCTCCCAGCCGGACACCCTGGGCTGCCGCCGCTGGGCGGACTTGGGGACTCCGGAGGGGCTAGGAGGACTTGGTGCTGCCATCTTGTGGCTATGGGTGCCGCCATTTTTGTCACGGAGTGATGGTTATTTGCATAGTACTCTTTTATTAGATAGGATGAAATGAAATCTAGCTTACCACAACACAGAAAACCCTCTGATAAACAATTTCTTCAGTGACTTTTACATATAAGATCTTTCAGGTCATTAAGTAAGTAAAGTTATTGAAATACACTCAAGCTCTAATTTGTAAGAATTACGAGGAAAACTCTAAAAGATAGCCAGTAAGTAAATATATACTAAGTTTACTAAACTGATCTAGCTATTTGAACTTGATCTTAAGAATCAGTATATATAATAGTTAACAAATGCGCAGGAGAAAGGAAGATGAAGGGCATTCTTTTCTTACCTGATCCAAGTGCCTGTCTCTCATGAGTTCATACTCATTTTGCAGTGTGTGCTGGAAAAGGGTCCAGATGATGTGTTCTAGTTCTGGGTGGTCAGACAGAAGACGTGCACATAGTGTGTTTAGGCGAAGATATGCTAGTCGGTACACTTGAAGAGACAAGTGGAATTAGTTAGGTTTAGCGTTCATCTTGAATTATCAGTGGATTTAAAAAAAACCCCACACATTAAGTGGCTATAACCATATGCTGTTAATTAGAATGTTAACAATAATTACACTTCTACCACTCTTCCCCTTATGAATAAATGATTCCTAGTCTTAGCATAGTGCTAGGTAAAATAATACTTGCTGAATTGATTATTACAGCATAAAATTGAGGCAGAGTGGAAGGTAAAAGAAAGATCATAAGATATTATGGATTAGAATCTAATCATTAGATAAACCACATAGGGTTTGTTTCAGTTCCATTGGTAACGGCTCATCACAGATGTTGGGAATTCTATTAGTATTCAAAAGGGAACATTATTTTTAAAAATGGAATTTTCAGTCTTAAATTTTCCAATCCTAAACACAAAGTATATTTATCTATAAAATGCCAATGGAGCATACACTGTTGAAAAAATGGTAGACTTGTACCACTAAGGGGTAACATGGCTATGATATAAACTTTATTTAGAGATTACTGTGTTAAAAATACTACAGGAATACAGGTTGGAGAAAAGGAATCCACAAAACTGAATTTTTCTCCATCTAGTTTAAATATGAATAGTCCTGATTTTAAATATACCATTAAAAGACTTGCATAAGGTAATCAGAATATTTTAGTTAACAATTTATCCCAGTAGTTCTCAAATTTTAGTGCGCATCAGACTTGCAAAGAGTGCTTGTTAAAACAAGATTTTTTTTAATTTTTTTTTTGCTTCATCCTAGAGTTTCTGATTAAGTAGTTTATTTTGATTTCTACAGCTTTCTAGGTAAGTTGGACTCTGCTTGTTGGGGACTATACTTTGGAACCACTGCTTTTGTAAGAGCTGTCTTATAATATTTCGGACTTTACTAAATCAGAAAAAATGTTTAACACAGAGTAATGTGGCTTTTCACTTTCCTTTAAAGAGCCCCAAGTGTGCGTACACTTGTGTGTTTAAACACATGCACAGACATACAAACCAACTTCCCTGTACTACCATCACACACGATCAGAGTGCTATACGAGCTGGTTATTAGGAAATGTACCTGTACTAGGGCACAGCACATTGTGTTCTCTCATATACATCGGAACACCTGAACATGCACACCTGAACAGCAAAAGCAATATCAGGAGCAAGTATTTCCAAACATAAATTTGAAATCATAACAAAAGCAGCAACAATAACATTTTTCTATGTGCTTACTATGTACTAGGCACCGTTGCAAGTATTTTATGTATTAATTCATTTAATTCTTTCAAAAAACCTGTAAGGTAAATTATTATAATTATAAGGTAGATTATCATTTTTATGTTACAGATGAGGAAACTGAGGCATAGAGAATATTAAGTGTGCCATGGTCACACCTAGTAAGCAGAAGAACCGTGATTTGAACCTACTCAGCCTGGTTTCAGAGTCCATGCTCTTGAAAGTAATCACCTACTAACCTTTTTTGTAAAAGAGTGAGAGGGAGGTAGATTTCAATGGCTTCTGAGTCTGGAAGGCTGAGGTTGCTTGTGCCTCTGCATTTGCAGTAGAATTTACACGTGTAGTTGACCCTTTTTTCTTTGGGGATCTTAAAGGAGAAAGATACCTGGATATATTCAAAGGAAAAGTCTTCATATATGTTTGTTAAAAACCTCTTTCTCTCCCTTACCCATTTTCCTCCCTCCCTCTATCCCTCTCCCTCCTCCCCCGCCTCACACACAGTTGTACACATGTATCCAAACACACCTTGTATATTTAATCTGTTGTTCTATTATTCCTTGAGCATTTATATATATTTATATAAATATATAAAAATTATATATATTTAATTATATAATGAAAAATATAGCTTAATAGGTAAACTAAGTTTGTCATTATCATTCTAACTCTTTAATAAATGGCTTTTCCAAGGAATTACTGCCATTTTGGAAAAAAACAAAACACTACATAGTATATATGTTCAATTTTAATAATTATAGTGGGATTGAGATCACAACTTAAAATGACAAGTTATTATACTAAAATAGTATTGTCATTTTTCTTTCCTCTTAAAAAATGTCTCAATAACTATGGTTCATATCTGTACATGTATATATACCCAACTAAATTATTTAATTCAGATTTCTATGAACTAATACTTTAGATGAAATTACAAGGCAAGATTTACACCTGTATATTAAATACAGGATGGGGCAAGAGTAAGCTTATAGTTGTTCACATGGAAAATAAAACAATAATAAAGAAATAATAATACAAGAATAAACTCATGTTTTTGTGTACTCAAAAATATAAACCTAATTTTCCCCATCCTGTATGTCAATTTTTTAATTTTTTTTTTTTTTTGTTAATCCTCACCTGGGGATATTTTTCCATTGTTTTTTAGGGAGAGTGGAAGAGAGAGGAAAAGACAGAGAGAAACATTGATTTTAGAGAAACACATAAACGTTGCCTCCTGCATGAACCCCAACCAGGGCCCTGGCTGGGGAGGAGCCAGCAACCAAGGTATGTGCCCTTGATTGGAGTCAAACCCGGGGCTCTTTGGTCCACAGGCCAACGCTCTATCCACTAAGTAAAACTGGCTAGACTCGCACATGTGTCAAACACAAGGCCCGCGGGCCAAATCCGTCCAGCCAGGCCTTGCAATGTGGCCTGCACCGCGCTGTCATCACTGCACTCTGCTGCATTTCCATCACAATGACAGTTTATGACTGTTCAGTAAACCATTCGGCCCGCGATTTAGGCTTGATTTTAGATTTTGGCCCCTTCTCTGATTGAGTTCGACACCCCTAGGCTAGAGCAAACCTCAATTTCTGACATTGTACTACTATGTGTTGCCCTTTATTTTATAGGATAATACAAGTCCACTTTCTAATTTTACGTTAGTAGCTAAGAAATAATTCTGAACAGGAAGTAGGATTTGCACTTTACCATGGATGTTTCTACTTCATGCAATATACTAACTAATACACTAGGAAAAGGGAATAACCATCATAATGATTTCATAAGTACCAGATCTAATCTATTATCATTTCACTATCCTATATAATAAAAGCCTAATATGCTATGTCTGGTCATCCAGTCGGCCGTTAAAACAATCAAAGCAAAATATGCTAATTATATGCTAAGGCCACTCAGCCACTTGCTATAATATGCACTGACCACCAGGGGTAAGACAGTCAACTGGTTGACCAATTGCTATGATGTGCATTGACCACCAGGGGCAGAGATCCAACAGGTAGGTTAGCTTGCTCCTGTGGTCTGGCTGATCAGGAATGAGCGAGATGGGTCGGACATGCCCTGGAGCCCTCCCTGGAGCCCTCCCACGGTCCCTCCCTGGCTGGCCAGCCCTGGTCGGCCCCAATTAGGATTGGTCGAGAAGGGGTTTGACATGCCCTGGAGCCCTCCTGTGGTCCCTCCCCAGCCCCAATTATGCATGCACTGGTGGGATCCTAGGCCTGGCCTGCACCCTCTCACAATCTGGGACCCCTAGGAAAACGTCAGAGAGCCAGTTTTGGCCCCATCAGGTCACTCCCAGACACAGAGCTCAAGCCTGGCGAGCGCTGCTGTGGTGGCGCCAGCCTCTTCTGATTGAGACAGACTGGGCGTGAGCCTAAGGCAGGCTCAGTGGGGCTGGGATGAACAGGAGTGGCAGGAAGGAGGTGTAGGCGGTATTGGACTTTGGGTTTTGGCCTGATCCCTACAGGCTACCCCATCTATACATGAATTCATGCATCAGGCCTCTAGTGTGTGTGTGTGTGTGTGTGTGTGTGTGTGTGTGTGTGTGTGTGTGTGTGTGTGTGTGTGTATGTGTGTGTATGTATATATATATATATATATATATATATATATATATATATATGTATGCCTAAGAGACCAAATGACTGGTCACTATGACGTGCACTGACCACTAGGGGGCCGATGCTTAATGCAGGAGCTGCCCCTGGTGGTCAGTGCACTCCCACAGCCAGCCTCCTGCAGTCCCTTCCCTTAGCCAGCTAACCTCCCATGACCCCTCCCCAGCCGGCCAGATTGCCCTGATTGCCAGCCAGGCTGAGGGACTTCACCTGTGCAGCAATTTGTGCACTGACTCTCTAGTCCACATGTGTCAAACACAAGGCCCGCGGGCCAAATCCGTCCCGCCAGGCCTTGCAATGTGGCCCGCACTGCGCTGTCATCACTGCACTCCGCTGCGTTTCCATCACAATGACAGTTTATGACTGTTCAGTAAACCATTCGGCCCGCGATTTAGGCTGGATTTTAGATTTTGGCCCCTTCTCTGATTGAGTTCGACACCCCTACTCTAGTCTAACAATATTGTATAATGACTGAACTTGGTTAGAATTTAGTCTCCTTTGAGTTCTGGGTGCACACATTCAATTACTTACTGGACCTTACTACTTGAATCTCAAAGTGGAGTTCTTGATTCTCCCCCTCCCCACCCCACCCTATTTCTCCCATCTCAATAAATGACTCTGCATTACATGCAGTTTCTTAAGTCAGAAACTAGGAGTTATTTCTAATTTATCTCTTTTCTTAGTTCTTCAAACCCAATGAAACACCGAGTCCTATTAAATCTTCCTCTAAAATACATCCAAGATCTTTCCATTTATTTCTCTCTATTGACTGACATACTTTAGACCATGCCACCTATATCTCTCACTTGGACTATTGAAATTATATCCAAACTGGTCTTTCTACTTTCTTCCTTGCACCTTTTCTTTCCCTCCTCCAACCCTACCAGCACTTTAAACAGCAGCCAGAAAGTGGCCCTGAGTGGGGAGGGGGAGAAGTATAGCAAGCTGTAACCCTGCTTAAAACTTTAACGCTTTCCCATTGCCATTCAAAACCCAAACTCCTTCCTATGGGAACATAGCCCGAGTTTAGTACAACCTCAATTTGTACTAGTCTCCTCTTGCTCACTTTACTCCAGCCACTGAGATTTCTTTCCGTTCCTAAGACCAGAAAAGTGTGATCTGCTCTAGGGCCACTCCACTTGCTGTCCGCTCTGTCTGGAATGCATGCCATGCAGATTTTTGCCTGGCCAGCACCCACTTGTCCTTGAGTCTCAGGTCAAACTTCATCAGAGAAAGCTTCCCTAAACATTCTATCCCTCTCATTTTCTTTCTTTCACCATGCTCTTATTATTTTCATTTCAGAACTTATTGTACTCTAAAATCATCCCAGGTATTAGATGACATGTTCACTGTCTATTTCCTTCCTCCAGAATGTAAGCTCTAGGAGTGGAAAGATCTAGTCCACCTTATTCGCCTTTGTATTCCTACTGCTAGAACAACTCTTGACAAATGCCTTGTTATATGAAAGAAAAGATAAGGCTTGACTTACTTATATTAATGTATTATCTAGCAAATAAATTTATATGTGAAGGCAGAGGGTCCATATGCTAGACATACAAGCTAGCAGGGAATCAGGGAATCGACATCCCTGGAAAATAGTGTCTGCTAATCGGGGACACTGTAATGTCAATGCTTACAGAGAACTCAACAGAAACATAACATTTCTATGAAAAGCAGTGCATTTGGAATGTTTAAAAACATGGGCTTTGGAGTCAGATTGCTTGGGTTTGATTTCTGTGGACTTTTGGCAAGTTACCTTATTGATCTAATTCCTGTTTTATAGGTAACCAAGGCTGATAGCAGTATCTGCTACCTTACAGGGCTGTTGGGAAGATTAAATAGGAAAAAAAGAAGAAAGAATCTGAAGTACTTAGGCAACTGTTCAGCACACAGTGACCCCTCAGTAAATGTTAGCTATTGCTTTCTTCTTCCATCATTATCATACATTTATCAACTGTTTTAATCTCATATGCCACTCTAGGCCCTGTGCCTATCCCATGCTTCACTCCAAATGCACTGATCTAACTCCCTGTAAAACGTTTCCTGGCTATTAAGCTTTGAAATTCATGCCATTTCTGACTCCTGGAACACTTTTCTGTCTCCTCCATCCTCTCCAGTTTACATGTTGAAATCCTATTCAATCTCTAAGGGCTATTAAATTGGTATCTTTGTCATGAAAACTGTCCTCATTACACCAAACCTGAGTGATTTCGGTAGCATTTTGTACCACCTTAATTATATGACCTTTAATTGAGTTATGCATTCTATATTCTTTCTTCTTTTATTTTATTTTATATTTTATTGATTTTTTACAGAGAGGAAGGGAGAGAGATAGAGAGCTAGAAACGTCGATGAGAGAGAAACATTGACCAGCTGCCTCTTGCACACCCCCTACTGGGGATGTGCCCGCAACCAATGTACATGCCCTTGACCAGAATCGAACCCGGGACCTTTCAGTCCGCAGACCAACGCTCTATCCACTGAGCCAAACCGGTTTCGGCTATATTCCTTCTTTTTGAAAGCAACAGTGTTCTTATTCAAAATTCTAATCCCTAGAGCTTTACTATATAGTATCTCACATTATACTATGCTCAAATCCATTTGTAGGTCAAATAGATAACACAAAATATATTCAGCTTACATATCTGCTGCAGTGTGATTATTCTGGAGAGGAAGGTTGAGAGTACAAGCAGATTCAAGGTTGTCACCTGGTCCTTCTCGGTCCTTTGCTTGTTTAATAAGATCAAATAAAGGTGAATCCTATATGAAACAAAATGATATTAAAACAACATTGGTAAGTATGATTTTCCCATTTACATATCAAAATAATATTTTTGACATGGTCAGCACTAATGTAGAAGTCAGAATGAGATCTTTAAAAAATATATTTTTATCGAGTTCAAAGAGTAAGACAGAGGGAGAGAGAGAGAGATAGAAATAACAATGACAAGAGAGAATCATTGATTGGCTGGGGATTGAGCCCGCAACCTAGCCATGTGCCCTGACTGGGAATGGAAATGACTTCCTGGTTCACAGGTTGATGCTCAATCACTGAGCCACACTGGCCACGCTCGGAATGAGAACTTGTTTTCCACTTTGAAAATACCAAGTGTCAATTTTAGTATTATTAAAAAAAAAAAAAAAAAAAAAAAAAAAAAAAAAAAAAAAAAAAAAAGGACTAGGAAAATGTATATATATCTTTAAATGTTTATATTAGTAAAGAAATTTTAAGTTAGAAAAAAAAAGACAGAAAAAAACTAAGAAGGTAAAAAAAAGGAAATAGTGAAGATATAAGCAGAATTTAATGAAACTGAAGAAAAAGATAAAATACGGTTTGATCAACATGCCTAATAATCGGTTATTTGAAATAATAAAACGAAATAAACTAGCAGGATCATTGACTAAGAAAAAGAGACAGATAAAGAGTATTAATAACAAAAAGTGGGACCTTCATTAAAAAGATTAGAAAGATAATAAGGAATTGTTATGAATAATTTTATGTCAATATATTAGAAATCTTACATCAAGTGGACAATTCCACAAAAACATAAATGAGCAAAACTCAAAAAAAAAAAAAAAGAAATAACATAACCTCAATAATCCTACAAACTATTAAATAATTGAATCAGTAATTTAAAATTTTGGCTTCGGAGAGCTTATCAATAACACACTGACTACCAAGAATAGCATTAAGTACTTTGTATTTCCTTCTCACAACAAATTCTAGGAGAAAAGTACTATTTTTTTCCCACTGTTATTTTACAAGTGAAGAAAGGTGGGCTAAGAGTACATTGCCCAAAGTCACAGTTAGAAAGAGGTGGATCCAGCACTTGGCACCAAGTTTTTTGATGCCAGAGCCTTTGTTTTTACCCATATACTACAGTTTCTAATCTAATGAAGAAAATAAATGGTTAAAAATCTCAATACAGAGTGATACGTTGCACAGGCTGTCATACAAATCAAGAGAGGGACAACTAATCCAAATAAGGGCTTCCTGGAAGAGATTATACTTGATTTGAGTCCTAAAGAAAAAAGTTATTTTAAATAAAATAAGTCAGAAAAATTTCACATAGCTTACTTGTAACTTTGATAGGATTGTTTTGATAAGTAAATAAGATAAGTGCAAAATACGCAGGACTACCACCTGGGGCATAAACTCTTAAGACTAAAATAATTTGTACCATAAAATAAAACATATAATAGATTGCATAGCAAAGAAAGAATGAGAGATAAACTCAATGAAGGATTTTAAGCAGGTGACTAACAGGAAACAGGAAGGACTTTCAAGAGTTCTTAAAATCTCAGTGCCTCCTGTATAATGAACACTCAATATATATTTCCAAAATGTTATATAACATAGTTATATCATGGGTTAAGTTAAATACAGCAAAAGAAAAAAAAAACTGATATAATTTGCTTTCTAACTGATACTAAATATCAACTGTGGCTGCTGGCCTCTAAGATAACCCCAATAATTCCTGCCACTAGGTATTTACCACCCTCACATAGATCCCTCCTATACTGTACCAAAGTTAGTCTGTGTAGTCAATGGCATACAGCAGGAATGATGGTATGTTATTTCTAAGATTAGCTTATAAAAACCTGCATTTTTCATCGTGGGCACTTTCTCTCTCTAGGATCTCCTGCTTTGGGGAAAACAGCTGCCATGTACTGAGAAGTTCACATGGCAAACAAATGAAGTCTCTGGACAACAGCCAGTTGAAGAAACGAGGGCTACCAACATTCATCTGAGTGAACCTGGAAGCAGATTCTCCAATTCCAATAAGGCCTTAAACTGACTACAGCCTTGGTTGCAAACTTGAGGATCTCTTCTGACAGAATCAGAGCCAAAACCATAGGGTGAAGCCACCCCCAGATTCCTGATCTTAAGAAATTGTGGGAGATAATAAATGTTAGTTGTTTTAAGTTGCTAAGTTTTAGGAAAATTTCTTACACAGGATAATTAATAGAGCAACTGTTTTGTTTTTGTTTTTAACTGTAAAGAAAATATTTAATGGCATGTTTAATTTTTGGAAATTTATGTATTCATATCTATAGCATTGTTTTCATCCAGACTAAGATAGCAGTTATCCTCTTGGACTCAGCCACGCTGTCTCATGTCATTATGTATCTACTTAATTAACTGTCAGCATAATCATTCTTTGGACAATACTCCACTCTATTTTGCCACTTAATCTTGTGAAGGAAACCAGACTCTGTAATCAAGATTAGTATAAATCACACTGAATAATGTGATAGAAAAAGTAGAAGCTATTCTATGCCTATTCTACATCTATCATAATTAAATACATTTCTAAAGCAAGCATGAACTTTTCCAGAGAGTAAAAGACTTAAAAGGCTAGTTAAGCCAAGGTGATCTTAAAAGATAATTTGGTCATCCAACAAGCTGTCCAGTGCTAGTACAAGGTGTCCAGTGCTAGCAGAAAAATTAACAATAGGGAAAGTGGAAGACAGGAATTGCTATTGTTTTCTGGGTATTTTAAGAATTGTTATTGGACTTAACATTACAGGAAATGTTTTGTACTATTCTAAGCCAAATCATTATGAGACCATTTTGACTTGCAAATGGAAACCAGAATACAAATTTGGAGCAGGCCTTGACCTTTCTGACAGTTCTTCCTATTAACTTCACTACTTAATATTGATATTCCTCAGGATCCTCTTGCCAGTATGTATGGTTGAACCACTATCATGGCTTTAATTATACCTATATTACTCCTAAGTCTACATTTATGACTACAACTACTCTTTTAAGTTTCAGATCCATTATTTCCAACTAGAGACCTCAGGTCTGCATGTATGTACATATGGCAACATTTCAAATACTAATATGATCAAACATTAACATGAATTCATTACCCTCATCACCAATAAGATATGGCCCTTTGGTTAACTGTGTTATAACTACCTGATCACCCACAGTACAAATCTTAGAATTGTTCTCACTTACATCTAGGCACCAAATCTTTGATTCATGCTTTTATTTTAACTTATTTATGTCTTTATGTTTCAAATTGGTTTCTTATAGATAGCACAAGAAATTAATTTTTTCTCAGTTTAATTTAATCTCTGTCTTTTAATTGAGGTGTTTAGACCACTTACATTTACATATTAATATGGTTAGTTTAAATCATACATCTATTGGTCTCACCTATCTCTGTTCCCTTTTTAACAAAGTATAAAAACAAATCAATGGAAAAGGAATAGACTTTACAAAAAAAATGGTGCTAAAACAACTGAATATCTATAGGCAAGAAATGGAAGAAAAGAGAGAGGAGAGAGAGAGGAAAAAAGAAAGAAAATGAATGAACCTTGTACAAAAATAAACTGAAATAGTACATAGACTTAAATATAAAAAAATAAATCTATAAAACTTTTATTTAAAGCACAGGGGAGAGTCTTTAGGACCTAGTTCTTAGAGTTGACACTAACACATGATCCAAAAACAAAAACACACAAAAAAAACACACACACACACAACAACCTGATAAACTAGACTTTGTCAAAATTAAAAACTTTTCCTATAAGAAAGACAATGTGGAGAGGATAAAAAAGAATCTACTAAAAATAATCATTTGTAAACTATATACTAAATAAAAGGCCAGTATCTAGAAGATATAAAGAATTCTCAAAACCTAATGAGTAAAAAAAAAACTAACAAGCCAGAATGACTTCCAGTCAAGATAGCAGAGCAGTTAAACGCTATGCTCACCTCCTCCCATGACCACACTCAACAATTATAGATAAATTATAGAACAGTCACTCTGGAGAACCATCTAAATACCAGATGAACCAAATTCCTATAACTAAAGATAAAAAGAAGAAACCACATCGAGACTGATAAGAGGGTGGAGATGAAAAACAGGCAGGTACCACACTCACGTGTGGCAGTAGAGAATCAGGAGTAATATCCTGGTGGCAGAGGTCCGCCTGAGAAGTGAGGGGTCCCAGCCCCACACAGGGATCCTCAGCCCAGAGTACCAGCGCCAAGCAGAGTAGTTCCCACAACATCTGGCTGTGAAAATCAGGAGGAGCTCTGTTTGGGAGAGGTGGAGGGCGGCTGGAAACCCAGGCATCCATTTCCTGGGTCTGCACACAGACTCACTCACACTCAACCAGCGCTCCAAAGATGGAAACACACCAGGCACTATAATTTTGCAAGTACAGGTCTTTTACCTCCTTGGTTAAATTTAGTAAAAAGTTTTGTACAGAAAAATAAGCCATCAGCAAAATGAAAAGGGAAACCACTGAATGAGAGAACATATTTACCAATGATACATCTGACGAGGGGTTAATTAACAAAATATATAAACACTTATACAATTCAATACCAAAAAGACGAAAGACCAAATTAAAAAATAAGCAAAGGACCTAAATAGACACTTCTCCAAAAAGGACATACATATGGTCAATAGACATATTAATCATCAGAGAAATGCAAATTAAAACCACACTGAGATATCACCTTACTCCTGTCAGAATGGCTATAAGCAATAAATCAACAAACAACAAGTACAGGCAAGAATGTGGAGAAAAAGGAAGCCTTGCGCACTGTTGGTAAAAATATAGACTTGATGCATCCACTGTGGACAATAGTATGGAGTTTCCTTGAAAAATTAAAAATGGACCTGCCTTTTGACTCAGCAATCCCTCTTTTAGGATTATATTTGAAGAAACCCAAAACATTAATTTGAAAGAATATATGCACCTCTATGTCCATTAAAGTTATTATTTACATT